GCGACTTGCTCCAGTTAACCGACAACCCAGAACACGTGGCAAACCTTTTTAGGATTCTAAGGGTCTCTGCCAGAGAAGGGCCCATATCAGCAAGGAACAAGATCAAGATGTCGGGAGCTGCTGTGAGACACGTCTGCTCAGTCTCACATCCCGGCCACGCCCCCCATAAATCTTATCTTTAAAAAACTGATGTAAACTATACTGTATGGCTAGGTTTAGATCGATAGTAGTTGTTATATATTTAATCATCTGTAAATAGGAAAAACATATGTTGTATTTGTATTTTCATTTACTAATCTTAAAGGGAACTTTTTGGATGGGGAATGGAAGGGCTAGAATCTCTGTTGGGATTTTCTTGCTATCATGGACTGTTTCAGAGATTTCCCCCCACTTCTGTCTGGATGACAACATTTTACCAGACAGAGGTACTGACTGTCTCCCCACCCCCATGTGACAGTGGTGGGACAGCTACAAATGCTGTCCAATGGTGCAAGTCAAATGATTCTACCCTTATGCAACGGGTATATTTTTTCCCCCACTACTTAACATACGCCTTCCCCAAGCTACTGGAGTACCATCTGCCTCTCCACACATAAAATAAGCCCCCCTGTTCCCTCCCCCTCACACATAAAATAAGAAGCACCCATGTTCCCTGCCCCCCCACATAAAATAAGGAGCCATTGAGCGAGTATCAGCAAAACAGCAGAATTCGTTAAATGTTCAAGAGCAGCTGTTGTTAAAGTGTTTAAAGACTGGACTGTCAGCCGAAAATCTGGGTCTGAATGTGCAAATTGTGGCCGTCAGCGACTTGCCACCTGTGCAATAAGTTCATCCATTAAATTTCCTTGCTACTAAATATTCCAACTGTTAGTGTTATTATAACAAAGTGGAAGCAACTGGGAACAACAGCAACTCAGCCAGGAAGTGGTAGGCTACGTAAAATGACAGAGCGGGGCCATCGCCAACTGTCCGCAGAGTCAATAGCTACAGACCTCCAAACTTCATGTGGCCTTCAGATTGGCACAACAACAGTGTGTAGAGAGCTTCACGGAATGGGATTCCATGGCCGAGCAGCTGCATCCAAGCCTTACATCACCAAGTGCAATGCAAAGCGTCGGATGCAGTGGTGTAAAGCACGCCAAGAGTCAATAGCTACAGACCTCCAAACTTCATGTGGCCTTCAGATTGGCACAACAACAGTGTGTAGAGAGCTTCACGGAATGGGTTTCCAAGGCCGAGGCAGCTGCATCCAAACATTACATCACCAAGTGCAATGCAAAGCGTCGGATGCAGTGGTGTAAAGCACGCCGCCACTGGACTCTAGAGAAGTGGAGACGTGTTCTCTGGAGTAATGAATCAAGCTTCTCTGTCTGGCAATCCGACGGATTTGTCTGGGCTTGGCGGTTGCCAGGAGAACAGTACTTGCCTGACTGCATTGTGCCAAGTGTAAAGTTTGGTGGAGGGGGGATTATGGTGTGGGGTTGTTTTTAAGGGGTTGGGATTGGCCCCTTAGTTCCAGTGAAGGGAACTCTTAAGGCATCAGCATACCAAGATATTTTGGACAATTTAATGTGCCCAACTTTGTGGGAACAGTTTGGGGATGGCCCCTTCCTGTCCCTACATGACTGCGCACCCATGCACAAAGCAAACTCCATAAAGACATGGATCAGCGAGTTTGGGGTGGAGGAACTTGACTGGCTTGCACAAAGTCCTGACCTCAACTCGATAGAACACCTTTGGGATGAATTAGAGCGGAAATGCGCTTCTGGAAGAATGGTCAAACATTCCGATAGACACACCCCTAAACCTTGTGGACATCTTCCCAGAAGAGTTGAAGCCGTTATAGCGGCAAAGGGTGGGACAACTCAATATTGAACCCTGCAGACTAAAGAGTTTATGTGTGTGTAACAGGAGCTGTGCTGCCGACCATGCAATCTCCAATCCACGTCTGCCAGACTCCACCCAAATTGTGCAATTGTGAACACTTTGATTGCATGTATTATTTAGCACTTATTTATTATAGAGAGTTATTTATTTATTGTTCTGGTTGAAGCGCAGCGCATTTATTTTTATAATTTGATACATTCAGAGGGTAACACTTCTTATAGTGCTTGCAGCTACACAGGGTTTGGCGCTGGGTGCTATTTGTCATTTATGAAATAAGAACTGAAGAGAAAACTTTTTTTTCCCACTTTGGATAGAGTAAGGGCAGGTTATAACCCATATCAGCTTCTTTGTCATTTGTGTCCCATTGGGGAGTTATCCATTCTTGCTGTCCAATAGCCACAACAGGAAGTAATAGATAATCCCAGGTGGTCAGCAGGGTCACCAGAACTAGAAATCCCATTGTAAACTTTCCCATTTATTCCTGAGATTTTCTATCACTTCAGTGATAACAGTCACCAGGACAAATAGAGAGGATGAATCTCCCTAACGAGGACACAGACAGCAATAAAAACCTGTTTGAGGTTGGAAACTTAAAGGAGAACTATGGGATCAGGGCTTTTCCCCATAGTTATCCTAAGGGACACAACTAGCGTCCTCCCATTACCCAAAGCTCAGTATACCGCGAGCTACAACTCGTGGTATACTGTGACGCCGCAGCCGGGACGGATCCCGACATTACTGTCGAGATCCACCCAGCTGCGTGATTGACAGCTGGTTCTGCCTATCTAGAGGCAGAGCCAGCTGTACCCGCCCCCTCCCTCGTCCATTCCGCCAGTCAGCGCTGGAGGATCAGACAGGGGAGGGGGGAATCCCTGTGAATGACAGTCACGGCTCTCTGCAGGGATAGGTCGAGAAGTGAGCGAGCGACAATATGTGTTCGCTCACTTCCCGATCTATTGTGCGACCTGTGACAGTTTTATTGTCACAGGTGGGCTAGAACTATGAGGCTGAGTGATTTTTAATCGCCTCATAGTTCTTCTTTAAAGTCTATCTTCGGGGCAAAAGAAAAACAACCTTTGCAGTGGGGCTACCCCCACCCCACACTGCTATGGATCTGGATATAGACTTGATGATGCCAATGGGCCTGCGACCACCAGAGCGCAAGGGGGAAAATGCTTCAGGTGGCGGTCTTGGAGTCACTGGTAGTGGGGATCAGGTAGGTAAAAGTCCTTTACACAATACCCCTAGACAAAAATGAGCAGTTAACCCTTGCAGCACGAGGATAGCCCCACTGCAAGGGGAGTTTTTTTTTATTTTCTTGAAATAGGCTTTACAGTAGAACTGTAGACATCTGCTAAAGTAAACCGCTAACAGAAAAACAATTCTCAGATCTGGGTTTTTTTTGTTTTTTACAGTTTCAATGTGTTTATTCTTTTTAGTTTTTTGTTAGATAGTACTGCTCCACACTTACAGCCCTAGGAAGCACATAAACAAAGGTTTTAGTGAGAACTTGTAACCGCTGTGTGATTCTTATAGGTTAACGTCTCTCCAGTCCAGATGTCTCTCCAGTCATGGACTACCCCCTCCTACAGGAGACAAGCACTGGGCAGTACTGAGTGTTGATATTGATTGTGATCTGACATGTGCAGGCTACTGCTACAGACTGACAGGCTAGGCATAGTTTACCATTGTGTGACAGCAGCGGTTCTCAGTATGCAGGCTGGGACTGCTGGTCACCTTCCTAAACACCACACACTACAATGGGGTGATAAGCTTTGCAGGAAAAGCATTTTAACAGTACAGGGGTCATGGCACTTTCCTGTGATATGCATCATGAACAGTCCCTCCGACCCAGATCACTTGTTTACTCTGAATGGGCACACAGTATGGTAGACAACTAACTTTACACACTGATTTCAGGTAGTTAAAGTGACACTAAATTCAGGAGTTATATCAAACACCTTAACTATTAACAAAAATGTATCTTATTTGTGTATCACTCAGCTGTAAATCCTGAAATCATCTCTGAATTGGTGCTGACACTGTCCTTCCTTCTGGAGGGAGGCTACTTTTGTTCCCCATGGTTCCCTGTGTGTGTGTTGTAAAGTTGCCACCGCTCCAAGCTCACTTTTGTGATGGTCTACAATCTCAATTCAAGTTAGTAAACTAAACATGAGATTGTAGTCCTTCACAGGAGCGAGCTTGGAGTGGTGACTATTTTACAACACACAAGGACCATAGGGAACAAGAGTAGCCACCCTCCAGAAGAAAGGACAATGTCAGAACCAATTCAGAGATGATTTGAGGATCTACAGCCGAGTGATACACAACTAAGGTACACTTTTGTTAATAGTTAGGGTACTTGAATGCATTTTAAGATTTAACTCCTGAGTTAAGTGTCACTTTAAATAAAGAATACACATTCTCTATATAATTACTTAACCCAAAAGTCCCAAAATTGTTTTTATTTTATTACATTTATATAGTGCTGACAATTTTACACATCCCTTTACATATTGTAAATTTAAATTGCTATTAATAATAAAAAAAAAAAAGGAACTTGCTGCCTTTCTGTTGCTGTTTACCCCGCCATTACGTATATGAATGAAATATGGAAAAGCTAATACTGTTTCACACATATCATTGCATCTAAAGTGCTTTGGAAGGTGTTCACAATACTATAGTTTTGCTTACTATGTATAGAATGACTTTTAAAAAATGTTTTTAAAAAATACAGTGCTTCAGTTGCCTTTTTTATTTCACGTAATTCCAACACAAAACATTCTTTCACCTGGGGATGGTAAGATGTAACTACAGAGTAATAAAAAGTTAAGGACTTTCAGCAAACAAGAAAAAAAAAGATCCATATAAAAAGATATATATATTATTCTCATGTCTGGACAGCAAGGCGCAGGATCAAAGCATATTTCCAAGGCTGCACATTCTGACAAATTCCATACATGTTCAGCTTGCAAAAGTAAAGATCTGTTTATTTCAGCTATTTACAAATAGTCATCTTTGTTTATAAATATATAAATACACACACATTTATTCATATACACAACCTTGTGAGGATGACTTCAAATCACGAGAGTTAAAAAAAACTGACTTACCTGTGTCTAATAGAAGGCTTGTGTCTGCCAGGTAGGTAAAGGTGACAACACTGATGTCCCCAAATGCTGCTTGATCTCTGTGGGCATAGCAGTGTGCCAGGGTTCAATCTTTTACACCAAGTATTTTTTTTTTATTATTAGATTCAGCAGTACAATCCACCAGTCAACTAGAAGCTGTAGATCTCGAGTATTGTGTCTAGCTCAGCCTGAAAGGAATTTCATTTTTTTCAAAAGTTTAGAAAAAAGATTGCAAGCTCCTTGCTCATCTACATGGCTGGCTTGGAATACCTAAGGAAAGAGATGTCCTGTGCTGGCTGCAGGCAATCCATTGAAGAACATATGTTTGCTGATATGTTTTCTTTGCTTCTTTGCTTGGGTAGTAACTTGAGCCGGACAGCTCCGGTGGAGAAGGGGATATGACGTCTGTGTTCTTGAAATGTGACTCTGTCTCTTCGTCTAATGCAGCCGGTTAAACCATCAATCAGGGAAGCGATGGCGGAATTCCAAAAGATAGCAGAAAAAAAAGAACACTTTCGGTGTGAAACTGATTACATGCAAGCTGTTTCAACATGATACAATGACAAGTCAACTTCAGCATGTCATGGATGTTTGTGGGTGACAAGGAGCAATTCATTTGGGGGACCCTGTAAAAGGGCTCCATTGTGCAGATGTCATGGAAGGGCCATTCAAGTGCTTACATAATTCCTAATTACAAGACAGTGCCCTCTTACATACGGTTCAAGTCAAGGGGGGATTTAGAAGCAGGGTGGTTGTATAGGGTGACATCACTTTGTTTCAGTAAGACGCTTTGCGCAAACCGTATTTGAAGCTGCACTTCAGGCACAAAAACTTCATTCAAAGTAGTACTTAAAGGCTGTTGGTCTTTTACCTTAAAGAAGAACTCCAGGGAAAAGTTTTCTGAACCCGTGCTAGGGTTAAAATAAAACTATGGCCCAACCTTTTTTGAGTCTCTCTAAGGTCACAGGAGGACATGTACTAATGTCCTCCTGTGACCCAAAACTCAGCATATAGCGGGCTATTGGCTCTGTGCTGAGAGCGCAGAGCCGCACTGCAGCTGGGAAAGATCCTGACAATATTGGCAGGATCCATCCTGCCACCTAATTGACAGAGGCAGAGCCAGCGTTGCCCGCCCCGTCCCTCATCCCAGTCAGCGGAGAAGAAACGGTGAGGGGAGGGGGAAAATCCCTGCTGGGAGCGTTGACTAGCAGTCACCAGTGAGTCTCTGCAGGGGAGAAGGTTGGGAACTGAGCGATCAGCGGTATGTAATTGCTCAGCTCTTAATCAATAGAGCCGACGTGTGACAGCTTCATCGGCTCTAATTATGGGGATGAGTGTATTTCACTCTCCCCATAATTCTCCTTCTGGTCTAGGTACAAAAAAATGTATACTCACTCAATCCTCGGAGCCAGCTTGCTCTTATTCGCGTGCACAGAACGTGATGACTTGGGGACCTTAGACCGCTGCAGTGGAGGGGGGAACAGTTTCATTGTCACATGTCGCTCGAACTATGAGGATGAATGATTTTCACTCAGCTCATAGTTCTCCTTTAAGGTAAAAAAAACACCACACTACCTTTTCATGCCCCCCACCTCCAAACACTTACCTATGGTCCACATTCACGGTCACTGGCTCACAGACAATCTCTGCTGCTTGGTTGAAGTTTCGGTTTGAGAGGGAGGATCCCAAGGCCACTGAGGACAGGGCGGGGATAGGCTGCTGCACCTGCCTGTCAAATTACAGGGAGGAGGCAGGAACAGGGGTGTGGCTTGTTGAGAGCTGTGTGATTGTGGCCTGGTTCATTCCTAAGCATTTTCAGTCTTGTATGTTTTTTTGCACGTTTATCGCGCAATTTATTTCTGCGCGTTTTCGCTTTTAAAAACGCGTTTCTCCCAACCTGCTAGTCAAAGGAGTGTACCAATCTCCCTCTGATACCCTTTCACAGCGGAGCCCGGGATCAGCGTGACAACAGGAGGGGTGGCTGTGGAGGGGGGACACGGACCAGCAGCTTATACAAGTGATCCGCCGGCTATCGCTTGTATGTTAACAGGCATTGCTGCCTGTTTTTTTAAATTTAGGCAGTTTCCCACTTGTGGGCGGACCTGGTGGGATGTTTAAATACGCCCGCTCAGATCTAGGAAGAGGTGGTTAAAGGGTTAGTTCACCTTTAAAAAGTAACTCCAGGGGAATCAAAAACCTACCCTTGTAGTGGGGCTACCCCCACACTGGAAAGTGATTGTATTGTCTCAAATACAGTTGCATTACTCACCTGATCCTCAGTCCCACAGTGGTCGGCAATCACCTCTCTCCCCCTTTGCTCCAGCTGTGGAATGTCCTTCGTCCTTGTGTCTAATGCAGATCAATGGACCTGCAAAAGAAGTCATGAAATCAGCGGTATTTGGATTACTGGAGCCCAGGAGAGAAGAGGCTGCAGAGACCAGTCTAGCAGCCCAAAAGGAGCAAGGATCAGGTGAGTATATGTGCTTTATTTGAGCCCCCTAGACAAAACGAACACTTAAAAGGGTTTCTAAACCCTCCGGTTTTTTTGCATATATCTACTGCTAGCTAGCTAGCAGTAGATATATGCAAAAAAGCTCACGTTCGAGAATCCGAAACTGCTCATGCGGCCGCAAAGCATCTTGGGGCGGGCGCATGCGCAGTTTGGATTTTTCGGCCTGGGAGACGAGGAGAGACGCAAGGTAAGTCTATGGACACGTGCACATGCAGACGCCGCGGGACAGGAAGTGCCAGCAAGGACAGAGGAGTCGGCACTGGATTGGAGACCCGCGGCAGCGCTGGAGAGAAGGCTGAAAAGAACAGTAAAGAAGAAGATCGGATTAAGAGACATCATTTAAGGTAAGTGCTGACATTTACATTGGGGGAGGGATAAAAAAATCATCATTTAATGTCACTTTAACTCTTACAGTGCGATAGTAGCCCCACTACAAGTGTAACTTTTTGATTTTCCCGGAGTTCTTTTTGCTGCTTTTGAAGATGTTCTGCCCCAGCTCCTCACGAATGAGCACTTGGCTATGCAAACTCAGCTTACCACACAACAGCAGTCCGTTTTCTCTCACAGAAAGCAGTAGCTGAGCTCAGTGTTCTGAGATTGAGTGGGAAAGCGCACTCTGAAAGTGTGGTTTGGCGAGCCGAGTTTACAAAGCCTCATCCACAGTAGCAGCAGTAAGAAAGGTAAGATTTTTTTTAAACGGAGGGCAGTATTTTAAGTTGCAGTTGAAGTTGTAATGTATATGGCTTTAAAAAACAACAACAAAACATTAAAGGTAAAATAGCCCTTTAAATATATTCCTCAATAGCGACAGAGGATCTAAATCCAAGTTGTGTGCACCACATGCCTTTGTCCACCCAGATATTACCTTGCTAAAGTATTATTGACCTCAACACTGTGTTGTACATAGCCCAGGCAGAGAGCACACCCAGAAGGTCCAACCCACTACAGGCAACCTGCAGAAAACTATAGGCGAGGCGCATACAAGACCAGTCACCCTGCACAAGGAAAGAGAGCAGCATGGACCGGTCTTTATTACGAGAAGCTCCTGCACAGAGGCAAAGTTTCACACTGGATTACTGCACAGATTTGGAAGAAATACACAAAGCACATCAAGTTTCAGGGAAGAGTACACATGGCACCTGTAGTTAGACAATATGTACTTATCCCACAGTTCAGCTTTAAACTCATGAGTTTAAACATATTACAGTAAATCTAAACCCAAACTTGATGGCACGTAGGACCCCTTCAGAGCTGTGTGCGTTGAGGTGCATATTGTTGTAGCTATAGGCAAGGACATTGTCATTTGTTAATGTGCATTTTCCTTGTGTGCTGACATGTTTTATTGATGCACGTTTCAAATGCGTTTATGGATTAAGGACTTGGAAAGGATAAAGTTAACAACCATTGATCAAGGCTTGTAAATACCTGCTGTAACACATGCGTTTTAGCATTTAAATAGGCTCTATGGGTATGTTCATACCTTTGCGATTTGGAGCATGGGAACACAAAACAATGGATGTGCAGGAACACATTTAAACCAATGAGCCTGCTCGCAGCTATGCACTGCGCTGCATTTGGGAAAATTAGGCATCATTAATACTGCTTTTTCAAGGTACCCTGGGAAAAAGTGAGCTGGAAGAGACTCATTGAAAGGGTAGTTTTGTCATTTTCCCAGAGTTCAGCTTTAATTTTGTTATGTGTAGATACCATAAGGCCCCTTTGACATGGGCTGATCAGGAGGAGATCCCAGCACGGATCCACTCCTGATCTGAGCGTTACAGATTGAATGTCACCGCTTTGTCCCCATGTCGGTCTTTGGGGAATTGGATGTAAACGGATTTTGGATTAAAAAAAAAACTACCATCAAGGCATCAACTCCAATATTAACAAAGGTATTTTGCTTTTTAACTTCATCATAATGAATGTTCGTAACGGAACGAAAATACGTTAACAGAATTTCGTATTTCCTGCCTGTTTTGTAATGCAACCCTCAGCAGCAGCGGATCCAAATTTCGTATTTCGGATAAAAAAAAAATCTTGTCATGTTGTTCAACCTCATTTACAGGGGTAATATTAGTTCCCGTTTCAACGAAATTCGGATCCGAAATTCGTTAACGGAATTTCGTATTTCGGATATAATTCGGAAACTGCAATTTGGATTTCGGATGCTTCCGAATTTCAGGAAATTCGTACAAATTTCGATTCGTAACGAAACGAATCGCACATGTCTACTTAAAATATCATAGCATATACCATCAACAGTTGACCAAGCACCAGGTAGGATTTGTGTGTGTGTGTGTGTGTACACTGTGAATGCAAGAAGTATCCTACTGTCCTGGTGACTTTTGAAACCAGTCTGGGAAATGTATGTGGTGATGACACAATATCCCTTTTACTGTTGTCGACTGTAATCCTGGAGAGAGACTTTCCACTCTTCAAGCACTTACGAAAAATTACTGCAGTTTTTTAGAAGTTTTTGTTACAAAAAATGGAGTTTTATGGACACAAAAAAACGGATACATTGCAGTGCAACTGCAGTATAGCTGAAATATTACTGCAGTACATGTAAAATACAACTGCAGTAAAGTATTTCTAAGCCTCCATTCACATTT